TAGATGAATTAGCAACTACTTCAGTGAGAGGAACAGGGATACTAGTTTTATCATGGACCAGCGAAAAACAAACTGAGTAATGCAAAGATAGAGCTCATTTATTCAGTGGAATTACTGCAGATGTAACTGTGCTTTCCTGCAAGTAAAACCACTCAAGCCGGTTAACCCAAGATCGCCATCATATGCTATTAATTCCTAGCACACCTTTCACTTAAAACCCAAACCCCTCGTTGTAGTGAACATAGTGATAAAACCAGCTTAAAAACCAAAATAGAACACAAAGAAAAAGCCCACACAAAAAAAACCCCAACAAAAGTAAATGATCTTTCAAACAAGAAGTGTTAAAGATGACAGACTATGCATGCGCTGTGGGATGTGATGGAGCAGTTGCCAGCTAATGTTTCTTTTCTTCCTTTTACTATTCCTGCAAACTTAAAGCTGGCTGCCTCTTTCTTCTGCTTTCTGTCCTAAGATAAATTACCATGTGCCTCTGCACACATCTTGATGTTTCCTGTACCTGAAGCAGGTTCTTTTCACTCCTGCAAACCCATCAAATTTAATGAATACCGGAAATACTGACTTAGTGCTAAGAGAAACATTAGCATTGAGTTAGAAGTCCTTGTGGTGGGGATGCCAGGCCCCCGTCGGCAGAGCTGGTCACACCCTGGGTCTCACTAAAATACCAGATGAGACTGTGGAAGGAAAACAGCTTTTCATAGCTCTGCTCAGTGGTCTGCACAGCTTCTGTCAAGCTAATAAAGGTTATACCAACACCCTCCAGTCTTACAGGGAATCCTACTGCTAAGGTTCAGAGAGAGCTTATTCATGAAGCAAGTCTGCAAAATGCCCCTGGAAATGAACTTCGGAGATGCTGAGTATTATATGATCCATTCTTTCTTTAACATGCAAAAGCTGCCCAGCAGATGAAGCAAACCCAGGGCCAGCTCCAGTCTTTTATTAAGACTCCCCATCCTTCCTCTTCCCTGTCAGTGCCAACACATTGTTATAGCTACACAGTGTCATGAAAGCAGGACAAATATGACATTGCCATATGACCAGTCCTACATAAGAGAACAGTGCAGGAGGAGTAGCTCAGTGAATAGGCAACAACAAATTTCCTCACATTGCAATCACTTGTGTGACAGAAGATGACTTCCTAATGGAATATTGAACTGTCTCCAGGAGCATCTGCTGTGCCAATGAGTGTAATCTCGTACCACTATCAGTGCACTTACCAGAGGGGCTTTGCTGATACAGCAGCTTCAGGCAGCAGTATTAATGTTTGCTCATCTCTGTCTCTGAATGTCTTGTTGCAATGGCTTTTAGCCTCACATCACATTCATTCTTTAAGGCCACGCTGCTATTCAACAGATACACAACATTTGGCATAGGGGAACACATCTCACACAGAATCTGTTGGAAACTGAGATTCATGATCTGCAGGTCCCTTCAGAAATTATTCTCCCTTCTTCACTAAAACTACCCACAATCTCAGCTTGGTGCTAGTGAATATTAATTCCTACCACTGCAGCAGAGAGAGAATTCATAGCACCAGGAACATGGTTAAGAGGCTGCAGTGATTGACTTAGAGGAAATATTAAGGGTCTGAAATACATCTGGCTTGTGTTTAAGATGGCTTAGCACAGATGACACAGACTTTTAAAACATGCTGGAATAATCACTCTGCACCTGCACAGTGCCAACATGTTGTCAGTTCGAATAATGAGATGGAGTCAGTAAAAGTGAGAGCTGAGTCTAAACATGAGGAAAGAGTGAAGAATTGGCTCCCCAAAGGGAAAGTGGAAGACTGAAACCACAGCAAGTACTGAAGGCTGGGCAGTATCCTAGAAAATGGCACTGGCACAGGGTGCCCAGAGAAGCTGTGGCTGCCCCATCCCTGGCAGTGCTCAAGGCCAGGTTGGACACAGGGGCTTGGAGCAAGCTGCTCCAGTGGAAGGGGTCCCTGCCCGGGGCAGGGGTTGGAGCTGGAAGAGCTTCAACCCAAATCATTCCATCATTCTATGGAAATGTCTAATAGAGAAAAATAAAACACCCCTACCTCTAAGGAGAGCAAGTAACCCAATAAATTGTTTCCACCTCTAACTTCTACCTTCTGCAACTAAGCAGCACCCGCCTGGATTTAGTATTGGCTGTTTGTGGCTCTCCAGCTTCCTTTCATCAGTGCTAAAATGACAATACGGTTAATAATTAAGGTTCTTCCATGTACGAGGGATTCCCCAGGTTTGGCCTAGTACCTGCATGGAGGAAAACTCCCCCAGTTGCTTCGGTTGCACACATGGCAGGTCAGAGGGTGGCACTGCTTTGGATTTATGAAAAACACAAGGTTCTTTTTTAACGAAGGCTGTTGTTCATTTGCAGTTCAGTAGCTCATACAATTTCAAGGAGATCGTGGTGCTTAGAGCTTCTCCGTGATGTGTGTAAGCTTTCCTTAAACAAGGCAAGCATCCAGCCAGCATTGGGAAGTGAAGTCTTCCTTTGCCTTGCAAACAGGGTAAAATCTGCCATCTAAGGAATCATTTTGCATTTGAGGTGCAAAAGCACCAGCCAATTGTACTGGTGCAGGTGTACCAGAAGAGAGTGAGACCAGGGCTCCTGCCCCACAGAGCCCCCATGTTCCAAGAAATGGCACAAGCAGGAAGGCGATTGAGAAGAGGACCCCATTCAAGTGGGATGATGTTGGTCAGGTCTGTCTTTATTGAGAAATAACATTGCCTTGCCAGAAAAAAGGGAGATGAAGCCATGGCACAAGTTTTGTGCTTTCGCCCTCATGAAGTTCTGCAAATTACATTGCAAGGTCTCAGGGTGGGCCAGACCTCAGATGGCTGAGAAATGCTTTCCTGGGGGAGTCAAAGAATGAGCTTGTAGGAAAGCTCAGAGATAAAACTCCACTTTCCAGCCTTCAGCTTGCTATGGGACATTCATCACAACAACTGATCTCCACCCATGCTTTTTTTCCTACCCAGCACAGTGCTTGACTGAGGAGATGTTGACTTTACAAAGGTTAAAGGTGGCTGCCTCAACCAACAAATGGGATTTAGCAAGAGGGAAGGGTTGTTGTTCTTTCTTCTTTCAGGAATGAAGTGTCAGGAAGATGTAGAGGTCAAACAGGCCCCTGCTGAGTGCTGAGCGACAGCACCAGCTGTGGAGGGTGCTGGAGTGATGCAAGACCCAAGGGTTCTCACATTTGGGAGGGGAATGCCATCTCCTTTTCCCACATCTGAAGTCAGAGGAATAACAGAGAGAGCTCCATTGGGAAAACAGGGTCCAAGCAGTTTGGAAAGCAAAGTGATGCGCAAGGATTGAGTCATGCCCTGCAGACGGACCTCTGGCTCAGAACTCATAGAGACTCCCAGATGGGAGCCTGAAGCTAGTCCTGGCTGAAGTGAACACCAGCCTAAGGGTCAATCCTCCCTTCCCCTCTATCCCCCCCAAGTATATGTGCAAGGACATTAAAGTTTACATAACTCATTGTAGTCTGAATGTAGGACAGAGCCAGGCTTGAGTTCCTACAAACCCCCAATAACCTGTGTGACTGAAATGAGTGTTATACATACAACAACACACACACACAGGCTGTAAATGAAATGCTTTGCATGGGCAAAAGTTCTGGACTCTGACTTCAATTCTGGAACATTGGAAGTATTCCTAAATTCATTATAAACTGCTCTTTCAGGTGAAGAGCTGCCTGGGAGCTTTCCCCCTGCCAGTGAGTAGGAAATAGATTTGGGTGTTCATCCTCTAATATAACACAGCAACAGATTTAAGTATTTAGGACACTTTTTCCTAGAGGATTAGTTCGGTATCAGATGTTTAGTGTTTTGCAAGAAAGTCAAGATTCACGTGATAGAACAGAAAGACCTGGACTAAACACACTTGATTTCTTAGGCTGAGCTCAAAGAACCAACAGATACATCAGGATAAGCACAAATCCCCCCCTAACCCCATCAGTTCCTTGAAGCGTGGAATTATACAGAAGCCAAGTAGAGAGGTGTCACTGAAGCCCCTGTGACAAATGAAGGCTCTGTGTCCATCTGCTGAATGTCTGCATCTGTGAGAGACCACAAAGCCCAGCACAAATGGTGGGAGAAGGGAAAGATGAGCACACAGTGTATAGCAAGGCCTAGTGGAGAAAGTACTGGGAATGGCTGCAAGCAGACTATGGAAAAATGGAACACACATGCACATGTGAATTGTCATCAAAACCATGGAGAACAACCCTGCAACAACGCTGGCATAGCAGGGTTTGGTCATTCCCAGCTGCCACATTGCTGTGAGAAAGGGATTGAGAGCACATCCCCTGTTAATGTGTTTTCAACTGGGATAGCTCTGGGGTCTAAGAATCTGCTTTCTGTTAGGAAAACCCATAAAACTTTCAACAAATGATGAAAAACATATCTTCCATTGGCATAAAAGCAGATTTCCTTGCAGGAAGGGGTGGCATATTGAAAATCCCCTAGAAAGCAGAATACAGGAAGAACAACTGCCACTGGCAACAAACTCCAGTTCTCAGCAAATACATGTGTTACAAAGCTAACAAAACAAATTGACTCAAGACCTTGTGTGTGTGCACAAGCCAGGTTTAATACTATTTTCAACTTAAGATTGGGCTGTAATAGACTGTAATCTATGAAATCCTTTCTGACTTCCATTTCCCGCTTTAGTTGGTGTCTGTTGAATCCTGTGTTAGGGCTTTTTCCAAAGGCAAGACTTGGGGGATTTTGTTAACAGCGCAATAAAAATAACTTCCTAGTGTCAGAGGGGAACTTTAAAGCCTTTTTTTGTGTGCTGCTCTTTTCTTTAAAAAAGAAAAAAAAATACAGACATTGTTTCTTTAAAGGGCTCCATCTGCAAATCCCATTAGATGTGCATATAAGGTTTCGGATGATTAATAGTTGCTGCTTGGCTTTGGTTGGAGGACCTGGGTGCATGTACATTAACCCCTCCCTCCCCTCTCTCACATTTCACTTTGCAAACTTGTCGCTCTCTCCCCAGCACCGTATTTAAAAGTGTTTCCCTCATGTCCAGCACTTCACAAGGAAGGAAGCTCCAGGCCTTGGGAAGCGGTTCAGAGCAATCACTGCCTACACCTGGTTACTGTGCTCCGGTCAGGACAATGAAGACATTCAGAAGAGTTCCCAAAGCAACAATTCTGCAACAGCCTAAAACCCACAAAGAACCTGTTGTTTAGGGATGAAAGCTGTTCTGTAAGGTTTGGAAGATTTCCCTTTCACTCCTTTGCTGATTTTGAAGCCTGAGCTATAAGCAGTCACCAGCACTGGTGTGTGAACAGCATTGGAAGCACATGGATCCCACCAGCAGCAGCTGCATGCGCACTCCACAGCCTCCTGCCCCACTCTGGGGGTGCCTGCGGAGCACCCACATGGATGTGACCACAGCGTCAGGGCTGAACCACTACCCACCAGCATCCTTCTCCTTCCACCAAAAGTCAGATTTTGCTGCTTACCCTGATTTCGCAACCTCCTGCCTGGTGACTGCTCCCCACAGCTTCCCACACGAGGAGCGGACGTTTGTGGAGCAGCATCCCTCTTTCCAACACTCTGACTGGCATTTTACAGCAACCGAAGCCAGAAGACGACTGAACCCAGGACTGGCCTTGGGCTCTGGGGAGTCAGAAGGCAGCACCCCAAATCTAGTGAGTGCAGCGGTGGGGATGAGTGAAGATGATGAGGTACCAGTAAATACTACCAATGAGACTGAGAAAAAGTCATCGAAAAGGAAAAAGGAGAACTCAGGTAGGTGATACGGAATCAGGGTTGTGGGGTAGCACAAGCTGTAGAGGAGAGCATCTGCAAGATCAGGCATTAAGAAATAAAGCTGATGAGGAAAACGCTTGGTAATTCTTGACTGGGGAAGCTTACACAATAACAACATTGAAACTAAATGGCTTATTCTGCGATGACCTCTGGTGTTTGTATTCCACTCCTGCAGATCTTGTGTAGTGAACCAGGCATTTTACCCCCCTGCACAATGCACATTTGCTGTAACTAAACAGGAACCACATGGCATGTGTACACTAAGCTGTAAGGATGGGGAGCTATAGACTGCATACCTGCCATTTGTCCAAGCGTAAGAAAGCGGCAGTCAAAGAGCAAAGATCTCTCACCTTGAGCTGCCTGTGCTAGCTGGAAATGTTATAGTAGGCTTTTGACATCTCAGTTGATGGTAACAAATACAAGATGTGAAGGCTTCCTTCAGAGAGAAATTCTGTTTTGGTCTAAATATTCAATGTTTTTAAACTCAAAAGAGCTACAAAAGGTTTCCCCATCAGGATGATGTCCAGCGAGACAGAAAATGTAGACAGTTTTCATTGTGTCATCCTAACTAGCAAAATGCACTCTACAGAGTCACAAGCAATCATTTCATAGTTAGAGAAACCTCTGATTTACTGCTCTCTCAAAGCTATGTGATATATGCATAAAATTGCTTTCTCCTAAGGAAGCTGTTAAAAATTAATAGGCTTATATACATCCATTTGCTACAATATTCATGTACAAGCTACAGCATGCTTTTTCCCACAGCACTGCTATGAAGTGGGGAACATTTTCCAGTATCCCCATTTTACAGGTAGAGAACACAGTGATAAAAGTATTTATCTGTTTATTTCTTTATAGGTTTTATGGATTGGCTATAGACCAGCAACCTTTAACCCACCTTTCATTTCTCCAGGTGTTTTCTTTAGAAACCCAGCTTTGGCAAATTTAAGTTCATTTTTCCCAAAACATAAATGTAAAGAAGTTTAGAAAATAAATAATCAAAGTGAGTGATACTTTTGTTAAATCATTTGCAACTCATAGGAAAACGATTATTTCAGTGTACTCAGATTAAAGAGATAGACTTATTCCTAAAGAGACTGATTTCAAAGCACATCTCCCTATTTTAAGTAGAAGACAAACGTTGCTTCTATTTGCTATTACCAGCACCCTCACATTTTCTTGTCATACTTGCTGCTGTCCCATATACTTTTCATTATACGGGAGCTGTAAGCAATGACATCACTGAAAGGTCCAGTGTTTCCTGCCTTCTAGCAAGGTTGCTGTCTGTACACGTTATTACTTGAGCAAATGCAGAACAATGAAAACATCCCAAAGGGGATTCCATGGCTTTTCATTTCACTCCTTTCCTTGCTTACTGGGCAGCAGACAGAATGATTTGATATCCCTCCTGCAAGCTTTTCCTTCCTTCTGTCCCCAGACAGAATAGAAGGGGAAAGTTTGAGCAATTTCATTGTGGTTTCTTTCACTTTTACAGCTGTTCCAGAACTGCAGCTGGACATAGCACGTACTGACTGGTTATTCTAAGTAGAAGATAAGTCTTTTCTCTCCTCTTGATAATCTTCCTAGATACCCAGAACCTTCTCCTCAGAGGCTAGGCTAGTAAAGAAAAATATCTCAAAATCACTTCAAGACAAACCCTACAATATAAACTATTTCCTTTTAGTTGGTGCCTTATCCACCACAAGTTTCCCTGAGCCGCAATATAGACACAGCATTACCATGACCTGTACCAGTGCATGCAAAACCCACTGGCTCTTGCGAAGACCCTAGTTATTAAGACACACAGTGAGGGCTTTGGAACGTGGCTTTTTGCAGTGTTCTGAGAACAGTCTAAACCAAACACATTTCTCAGACAAATGAGCAGGATGTTATAAAAGTAAGAAAAAAGCTTGTCAATCTTTAAAACTTCCTTTGAAGCATGGGTACAGTAAAACCCATGGCTTTCTCATGGCAATAACAACAGTTGTATCTGCTACAAGTACTTGTGGGTAAACATGCACACAACCTTCCCCTCCTCTACTATTTAGATGCCATATTCAGTCTTGACTTCACAGGCTCACCAAGTGACCTGAAGGTAGAAGTTAACCTTGTGCTGGCCCTTACAGCTGCCTCTGCTGTCCATCCACAGCCATTAACATGTCCAAACAGAACTTCAACCAAGTTTGTCTGACTTATCCTAACTCGTCCTTGTGTTATGATGTACCTGAAGTCCTCAGCTCTCCAAATACAGTACTGTAATACATCATAGAATTCTGACAGCTTTATTTTATGGGAATGAAACAGTACAGAAACAATACAAAAAGGTGCTGGTTTTGCTGCCCGTGGCATGGTACATCAAGGGAGAGTGATAATATGGATATAAGGAATGAAAGCTAAAACATGGGGAAGGAAACTATTTTGATTCAGTGATAGCAAGGAATGAGAGCTTCCTTCCCGTAGCTGCTCATTTCTGATCTCACATACACAGGCAGGCTCTGACAGCACCTCATTCTGTGCTGTCCCAAGGCTGACAACAGTGAGAAGTCATGCTGAGCTTGAGAGGGCCCATACAAACTTCTTCGAACCTCCACAGAGCACCTCCATTAGTAGTTTAGCTCAGACCTCAGCAATACACAAGTTCACACAGATCAGTGCTGCTTTAAATGACACAATGTATGTGCTTGCCTCCTAGAAACCCAGAATTCAAGCAGCAAGGCAGAACCAAGCAGCAAATCCCGGAAGGAAAGGACAGCTTTCACAAAGGAGCAGCTCCGGGAGCTGGAAGCTGAGTTTGCCCACCATAACTACTTGACAAGGCTCAGGAGATACGAGATTGCTGTGAACCTGGATCTCACCGAAAGACAAGTAAGGGATGAACCCCTGCCTCCTCAGCTTCTTCATCCCCCACAATTTCTCCCTAAAGCTAAAGCAGATCTGTTACCCAAGAGTGTACTTTTGCAATGGCACAGAGCAATTTTAGTACAAAGCCTCCACATTCTTTTAAAACACATTTATTGCAAGTTCCTGTAATAATAAATGTAATTCTGCTTATCTAACTAAAGACACATTTGGGAATAACCGATATCTACCAAGCTGTTGTTTACCAACACTCATTGGTACATATCAAGGTTTACAGATGGAATATGGATATCGCCTTAGACTGCAGGTACAAGGAAGTTATTAGAATGATATATGTTTGACACATGCATTCTGCCTGGGTCAGAAGGTATTTTGAGGGGATAAAGGAATTCAAAATCACAGAGTTCTGGACAGAGATATTTCTGTTCTCTCATTGTGATCTCAGGGTTTCCTCATCAAAGCTTAGTGAACAATTTAGGAGTTGCTCAATACTATCCACACCACAGTTCCTGAAACATTAGATTGGATGGACTAGATGTTAAAAGACATTAGATGCACTGTGCCCATTGGATTGACGTGTTTAGTTGACATAAGGACAGATTCTAGGCAAAGCACTTATACTACCTCTGTGGGTCTCAGGGAAACATCTGCCTGAAACAGTTTAGAAAGGATTGCTCCTGCCTTTGTTAAAGAGATGGATTACCTCAACTTGTGAGGTTCCTTTCACCTTTTCTTCTAGAATTCCACAAAAGATCTCTCTATGAATACATACACATGTGCACAGGTCTGCTTATACAGCTGAGATTGAGGCAATAAGTAATCATTTCCTTTTTAATCACTCAGGTCAAAGTATGGTTTCAAAACAGAAGGATGAAGTGGAAACGTGTTAAAGGTGGGCAACAAGCGTCCCCGCATGAGCATGACACAGAAGATGCAGACTCTGCTGCCTCCCCCAGCTCTGACTAGTCCTTGCAGTGATAAGAGAGAAACATGGAGAAAGTCAGTGATCAGAAAGTGGATGCAACACTGCTCTGGTTCAGCTACACCACGAGATGATCCCACCTGCAAAACCTGCAGCTGTGAATCTTTAACAGATAGATGATGCTACAGAGGCAGTTAACGAACACAACAGAAAAAAGCCAAAGGAGGGCATGACTCTGATTATTGTCTCAATTAATTCAACTCTGTAGAACTGTCTTACTACCACAGATGTGTCTTCATAATAAAAGCTAACAAACACTGAATATGAACCAGGCATCCTGTTGTGTAGGCTCTCAAGCATTCAGAAGATACAGGCTATCAGTCAGTGAGTGGTAACACAGCTGTGCCTTTCCCTGGTCACACCTCTTCATTCTGCATTTGGACTTGACCAGGCACATTTTCCTCATGCCTTACTTTAAAAGAAATAGATGCTTTGGTAGTCACTGATTTTATCATGCAAATCGAATTGAACACCTGTATGTAGGCAGTGAGATTACAACATAAAAACGAACCCAAATCTATGCAGAACTCTGCTTACCAGTTTCAGAAGAGACGGCTTTCACGTTGACGCTCCAAGAGGAGAAGTGCCCTGTTGATGCAGTCTGGAGAGGGACGTTTCCTCCATTCTCACTGGAAACCCTGAAATTAAATTGTTAATCAGAATGGCAAATATCTTTCCCAATAAACCAAATCCTGACAACTGTAACCAGCTGTCCCAGCAGGTACAGCAGAGATTAAGCCCTGTCACTGTTTTGTTTTCAACATTCCCATCTATTTAACTGAAGGAAAACTCCTTTTTAGTGCTGCATTTCTTTCAGATTCATGGAATCTCTCTGTAAATCCACAGTTTTCTTTGTGAATTCAGGGTTGTCGGGAGAAGCAGAAAAATGTTATCGGTGGTGATTTAACTGACTTTACTGTCTACAAAGTCTCGTTTCATTTTTCATGGGAGACAAAACTTGCCTCCAAATAAACACGTACATGTGTATAGTTAAGTTACGTATTAAACCATCTGTTAATCTGGGTATTATGTGGATTTACACTCATTACTTACTGTCTACTAGATCGGCATCTGGATTTATGAAATGTACAGTTATGTGACCAGTGTAGCCCTTGAGGGGGGCGGGGGGGGGGGAAACTGCATCACTGATGTTTCACAGGCCCTCTGCACATCCTACACTGTGACCACAGCATGGATGCAAACGTGTAAATCCTGTGCGTGCATTCACAGAGGGGTATTCCCATTACTTCCCAGACAGGTATTCAAGCACTGTTAACCCTGAAAAGACCACCTCTGCCTCTCTGCAAAAAAACATGTGCTTTGCCACCATAAGCTTAAATGGATGCTGCACTTAGTAATCAGTTAAAATGATGAGAAGTATGCATACATACCTCTCTGAGCTACCCACATCTCTTCAGATGAGGGAAACACTACCCTCTATTTCCTCCCAGGTCATCTCTGTGTGACTGGTGTGATACTTCAATGGGAGACCTTGCAGACAGAGAGTTAAGGCCGGATCCCAGTTACTCCAGCAGTAATAAGATGAAGTGTACTATGGCAGAGTACTGTTACTTGGCTTATGAAGCTGATGTTAAGAATAGGTTAATAACCCACTGGTCAGGTTACATAAAATTAGCTGGCTAAAAGTACTGCCTATGCACAGATGAGAACAAGCTACTGTTTACTGTAACTTTAAGAGCAGAAAATGACTTGGTCTAAATGGCTCTGCTTAAACCTTGGTGCCTTCTGGTTAAGCTTCTGACTAAATTCACTAGTTTAGGTCTTGGCAAGCATTGAAGAAAGCTGATTTTGTGAAGAACGCTGTTGCAAGCTCAGACATCCTGCCCTCATCTCGAAGCACACAGAACACTGTGGGGTAGGAGTTATTTGTTACTCATTTCCTTCACACCTCTTAAGCCAACTAATTGAACTCTGTTCATCACCCCACTGCCTCCTCCCATCGTGATTAGAAAGCCTGCAAGCTGCACAAGCAGCTTACTTTGTGATGAAAACTTTTGGGCTGCCGGCTACCAACATAAATCAAAATCAGCTCCTCACCCAGAACAAAGGCTGATAAACCTCCCCTTCTAAGGAAGCTGCCAGTGGTAGCATATGGCATCCTAACTCACTTAAAAGCTAACCAATGGGATCTCAGTCCGTACCTATAACTACAGCTCCTAAACAGCTCTTGATCTGGCTTTTGAGGAATAAGGTACAAGTCACCTGTGAGACCATTTCAAGCTTAGGTGGTTTCTGCATTAAACCATCTGCTTAATTCTAAGACCTGTGCTTTGCGAGGAAATGTTTCACTCCTGGCATCAAAGCATCTGACCCCTGAACCTGCGGTGCCAAGAACCCTCCAGGCAAAGTCTCTTGTCTAGGAGCAAAACCTCTGCCCTGCAGTTCTTTGCTACAGAAACACCCATGAGGCTTAATGCTCCTCACGGAAGGGAAGTGAGAACCTAGGGATGCCTGCTTCTCAATGCATAATCTGAGCACACAATCATCCACGTAACATCAGAAAGGGCTGTCGAGTCTTCCCAGGTAGCACATACGTAGACACGTTCCCAAGAACTCCACATTACGGAGTGTGCAGAGTAGCCACAAAATAAACCTAAGTAAAAGAATGCCAATTATGAAGCGAAGCTGTGAGAAGACCTGGATGCTTCTTTTTCTATATTTGATGATCTGCAGCAGTACTTTGTCAAAAATGCGAAAATGCAGAATGAATTTCATAAAAAAATAACCCCTTCTCACTAAAAATCACTTGGAGGTCTTCAGAGGAAAGCAGTTAAAGGGGTGGTTCAACTCTTTCTTGTGACCCACAACTGCTACAGAACGTTGCAGCACCCTGTTTTAAGTGCCCAGAGCATAGGGGCTGTTTCAGGAGCAGTTACCCAAATCAAGGGTAGGTACCTGGGGGAACTTTCCCACAGCCTGGCCTCTCCTCATTAGTCAGGGTTACTCTGTGCTGGCAGCCTCTGTTTATTGCTATGGTAAGGTGGGTCTTTGGAGGTGCACCAGCAACGCTAGCCCAAACTCCTGTGGCAGACGGATGAGGCCTGACAAGGCAGCCACGTGATGGAGAGGAGTCCCACACAGGATACGGCTGTGTTCTGTCAGACCTTATTTCAGTGTGCATCTCATCCAAGACACGATCTCAATGTTTAGCTGCAGAGAGTTATTGTTCCAGCTGTTGCATACTTGGTTTCTGCACGGCCTTTGTCATCAAGCTGGTGCTGGATGAAACGGTGCCAGCTTCAACAAACACAGTTTATGGTGATGCCTCAGGACACTGACACTGTCAACACTGCTGGAAGAGCTATGTCTGAGTTCTCAGCTTAAATGATAAAAGCAGGCAAACATGCTATAGCTAGCTACGCATGTGTGCTGAAAAGATACAAGCCTTCTAGAGGCACTGTTCTTGGATTAGCTGTACAATGTTAGGAGATAATGTAGATGCCCCAGGTAACATGTATAGATATCCCACATAGTTTAGAATACCCTAGCTTTTACTGTCAGATCCACTAGCCCCTAGAAGGATGGGTCACAAGGATGCTGGAGAGGGGCTCTTCATCAGGGACTGCAGTGATAGGACAAGGGGCAATGGGTGTAAACTGAAAAAGGGGAAGTTCAGCTTAGACATAAGGAAGTTTTTCCCTATGAGGGTGCTGAGGCACTGGTACAGGTTACAGAAGAGGTTGCAAATGCTCCATCCTTCAGTGCCAGCTTGGACCGAGTCTTGGGTGACATGACCCAGTGTGGCACATCCGTGCCCATGGCAGGGGCGTTGGAACTGGATGATCTTAAGGTCCTTTCCAACCCAAACTATTCTACGATTCTATGATGCTAATTCAAAGCTCTCACTTTCTACCTCCTTTGGCCAAATACAATAGTATTCTCCAGGGTGTAGGGAAGCAACACCAAACATTACTCTCTACTGAGATGCTGCTCTGCTGTAGAACCAGACTCTGTCAGTGTAATGTGGAAGCAAAAGCTAGCCTACCATTTTCCTCCTTTCACTGGATACACTTCTCACATGGCCAGAAAAGCCTAATGTTTTGCTAAGGAGTACGAGGGTTAACACACACCAGATGGCAGAGGAACAGATTTCCATGGAAGCTGGAGAAGCGCTCAGCTGGAACTCTCGGGAAGAACGAGCAGAGATTTCCCAGCCTTTCACAAAGGAAAAACCCCACTGAAAGTCCTGCTGCCTCCTAAAGGTCTGCAGAGCTGCTGCCCTGTGTCACGGAGCATCACGTTTTACATAACCCACTGGTCTATGAGCAGCTTGAGGGTTTGCATGTGTAGAACGCTGTGAAGACATGCAAAGCCCTCATGTAGGGCATCGTGCCTGCTGCTGAGCTCACACACAGCCTTTGTAGCCTTACAAAGAGAGCAGGGGAAATTCAGAGCTTGTGGTTAGCAATGATTAGGGTTTTAGGGAGAGTGAACCGTTATTACCAACACAACAGCCATGGGCTTGAGGGTGGCCAGAGCTCCACCCGCTCACCTTTAGCTCACCCAAAACAGACTTCCTGCCTCCCTTGCCAAGAACTCCTATGCTTCCACCTTCCAACAGCCTTTCATACCCCAGCCACCAGGATACAACCCATCTCTTCCCATTCATAGATGGAACAGGTCTGGGGGCACAGAGATGCCATACTGCTCCCTGCTTGGCACGCATCCCCACTGACACAGGGTGCTGCAGGAAACCCAGACGCACCCCAGCACAGAGGTGGGGTACTTGGCAGCTACTGAAAGTGCTCATTTCTCCTCCAAGCTCCCACTCTGTCATGAGCTAATGAGGAGAGTCCTGAACCCCCCCCTCCCCATGCACAGTGCTAATGATGGGGGTGCATGCTGTGACTAACGAAGCAGAGCCCGCCCTCCACACTGTCTGGAAAACAAAAGAGCCCTTTTAGCAAGCATTTCGCAGCCAGGGATTGTGAATGGGTCGTGTTGGACACGAGCAAAGCCTACAAATCCCCCTTCCACGAGAATTTCCTAGGCAAGCACACAGAGAGTGGATGAGGGCAGCTTACAGAACAGACACGCAGTTTGTCAGCTACCAGACTTTCTCCCCCCACCTCTTCCAGTGCTCAGATTGAGTTTCATCAGCCACTATCTCATATTTTGGATAATTCCCTTCCCTTGAGGAAAGTGCACAGCCCCTTCAAGAAATATTATATGTCTGTGTTAGTGACTGGGCTCTGAACACTGGATCCGTGCAGCGCTTTCAGGGATGGACAGGAAATCCATTTTCTCCCGGTGATTACAGTAGAAGGGCTTCTGTCTGACTGGAACTTGCCTGGTGCAGCTGTAAAATAATCCCAGCATCAGGCTATCACCTTTCAGGCTGTATTTGTGAATTACGATGGGGTGATTTCCACTGCAGCCCTGGGTATGGGCAGCTGTCTGCAGAGCTCTACGGCTTCTTCCCC